ACACAGCCACACACCAAATATTTTTACAAAAATAGGATGATGCTAAGTGTTTTACGGGGGTCACCTCATTTAATCCTAGGTGCTGTAGTTGCTCCCACTTTAGTCTTTATGTGGTGCAAATAGTTAAGCACTCAGCTACTAACCAAAAGGTTAGTGGTTTGAATCCACCCAGAGGTGCCTCCAAAGAAAGGCCTGGCGATTTACTTCCAAAAAATCAGCCACTGAAAACCCTACGGAGCACAATTTTACTCTGGCACACACGGGGTTGCCATGAGTCAGAATCAACTCAATGGCAGCTGGTTTGGTTTTTTGGTTTTGGCTGTAATTATCCCCACTTTACATTTCAGGAAAATGAGGCTCAGAGAGGTTATGCACTTTTCCTAAGGTCACACAGTCATAGCCTCTCCCTTTGCATCCTGAGCTTCACCTCTGGATGGGGAGGGCTTGGACTTGTCCCTGGGGGTACATTGAGGCTGCATAGCAGGCAGGGGTTGGAATTCCAGGCAGGAGGCTTGGCCTGGCTTTCTCTCTACCTTCTCCAGAAACCCAAGCCCTGAGGACAGAGTCCAGCCCCTGTGTCCTTGTTAAGTTTTTTTTAAAAAGATTCTTTTGCCATCTAATTGCGGCTCTGCCCTTGAAAGAGGCTTCCGCAGCTCCCAAGGTTCTCCGCATCTGTGACAGACAGACCTGCCTTAGGTTTCTCTTACTCACGGCCCAGGGGATTGAGGCCAGCTGGGCGGTCTGAGGCCCGGACCTCTCGCCAGCTATGTACCCTGGTGGCTCCTGCCTCTCTCGGCCTCAGTCTTCTCTTTTCTTGTTCCTTCCAGCCTCAACATACACCTATGGTTCTGCCCCAATCAGAGAGGGGTGTGGTGTGCAGCTGTTGGGGTGAGGGTGAAGGTGGGGGGCAGAGGAGGAAAAGGAAGAGCCGGCGGTGAAGGGGCTCTGAGGCACATCAGTGGGTTTGGAGGGAGAGGTAGAGTAAAATATCAGGGCTTCAGACTCCCTAGACCTGGGTTCAAATCCCAGGTGAGGCCTGTGCCCTGTGCTTGGTTTAATGTCCCACAGTCGCCGTCTTTAAATTCTTCATTGTTGAACAAGGAGCCCAGCATTCTTATTTTGTGCTGGGCCCCACAAATTATGGAGCCAACCCTGCTCCCAGTTATTAGCTGTAGGCCCTTGGGCAAGTTACTTTTCCTCACAGACCCTCAGTTTTCTTATCTGTAAAATGGAGCAGTGCTTTCACTGCCTTGGAGGATCCTTTGAGAGTTAAATGAGACACCCCAGGTGGAGAGCCAGGCAGTGGCAAATCCATACAGGTGTCAATCTGAGGTAATGATGATAGAGCTATTTAGGGGCCTGGCAGCAGAAATGTCTCTGGAGCAGCAGCGATCTCACTCCCACCCTTATTCGAGTGCCCTCTGGGCACTTTTCCAGAACACTTCAGGCCAAAAATAAAATCCTCACAGGGAAGCAGAGAGTACCACCCTCTCCACAACCCCGTGCCTGTGGCTGTATTGGTCAAGTGGTTGAGAGCCTCAGGCTTGTGGAAGGTGGTGCTGGGGCTCTGAGCCTGGGAAGCGGGGTCCTGGGAAGGGGGCTCCAGCCTCTGCTTTAGGCCAGGGGAGGGTCACAATGAAGCCCCGACTGTCAGAGGTGTGAACACAGTCTCCCCAAGTGCAGACTCCCCTGCTCTATGTCACTGCCTGTAGGACCCCCATCTGATCAGCTTCCAAGTCTTGCCAACTCATCCTCCCAGACATTTCAGGAATCCCAACTGCAAGATGAGCATCTCAGCTCAGCGGCTTCCTAACCATGAGACCTTGAGCAAGTTGCTTAACCTCTCTGGGCCTCTGTTTCCCCGTCTGTGAAATAATAGCGTTGACTCTGTGGGTTTGTTGTGGAGATTAAATTACCCCTGCATGGAAAGTGCTCACAGCTGGGCCCAGCACAAGCGTGCCCACTACAACTGCTGGCCCACCTGCCTCCCTCCACTCTGCCGCCAGACAACTTGCTCAAAGGTACAAGTCTGACCCTGCCACTCCTTCACGTGAAGCCCCTCTCTGCCCGCTGGCTTCACAATGAAGCATCAACTCCTTAGCCTGGCTACCTGAACCTCCTGGTGGTGAGCATGGGTGCCTTTGGCCACTCAGCACCCATTTGCCCTGCTCCAGGGACCAGCACCAGGGTTTGCTCTGAAAAACCTCCACCCCCAATGCACAATATTTTGATGTGACTGTCAATCATACCAAGGGGCGGGCACATGGCCCAAGTTCAGCCAATTGGGGGCCATCTCCAGATACCTTGATTCTTAAGGATGGACTGGCCCATGGGAAGGTGTTGGAAAAGGTTTATCTTCAGGGTGCCATGGATCTCTGTGGCCTGGATCTTCAGGGCTGCCTTGGATCCCTGTGCTCTCTGAGTCTGGGTCTTTAGCTTTTCTTCGGATTCTGCGCACTCCCGCAGAGCCGTCCATTGCTTCCCTTTCTGCCTAGAGTCGCCTGGTCAGTTTCTGTTGCTGACAACCTGAGTACCTGGCCAACGCGCTCTGGACCCTGCTGGCCACTTCTCCAGCCACATCCCAAACCACCTGCACCCTGATCTTCACCTTCTGCTTTTTTAAGGATCTGCCCTCAGGCTTCACAGCCCTTGCAGGCTATGTGGCACCTCTGAGCCTCCATCCCTGCTGTTCCTTCTGCCAGGAATGTTCTTCCCACCTGACTTCTGCTCACCACTTCTTATTCTCAACAAACGTTTGATGCATAAGAACCATGGAGGGTAGGACATGGGACCTACTCAGGGACTGAATCCATTTCCCAGTGATGAGGGATAGTGAGGGGAAGAGCTGAGGAGTGGTCCCAGCGCCTGCCAAGCCCCAGCCAGAACCAAAGCCAAAGAGCTGACCTCAGCCCCAACCCTGGCACAATCCCAATCCCAGCCCCAGCCTTTGATCCAGTCATGGCCCCACCCCAACCCCTGCTCAGACCCCTGCATCAGCCCAGACCTGCCGCCGCCTCAGCTTCTGCTCAGACCCCTGCATCAGCCTAGATGCTGCTCCTGCCCCAATCCCTGCCCCTGACCCAGCTCCTCCCTCACCCCTCTCCCTGCCCTGGTACCTGCCCCTCCCCCAGCCCTTACCCCAGGCTCCAGCCTCCACCTTTGCTATCACTGCAGTCCCTCCCTACCCCCAGCAGTCTTACTAGGGAAGCCCCTTCTGAGGCTGTGACTTCCCAGGCTGCCCTCTCAGGAGGTCTTGGCTCTGACTGAGTGGGGGGCCTCTGTGGGGGGCGGCCTGGTAGTGAATAGAGGTGGGGGTCCTCAGAGGTGCCACCAGGCCCACCCCTCCCAGTGGCATAGGGCCAGCAGCTCCAAGAGCAGGTAACAGGGCCCAGCCTAAGGCAGGGGGCAGGTCGCAGATCTGGGTCCTGAGGCCCCTTCAGTGTCAGGGGACAGGGGTGGGGCCTGAGCCATGGCTGGGGTGAGCCTTCAGGGGATGTTGTGTGCCCCAGCCGGGGAAGTGCCTGAACTGCAGCCACCCACAATCAGGTGGAAGGGGTGGAAGGAGGAGTCCCAGGACAGGCCCGTGAGACTTTGGGCAGCCTGCAAAGTGGGGACATCAAGTGACCCCCACCTTGACCGCAGATAACCAGCCTTGAAAGAAAGGACAAAAATAGCCCACATCTCCAGTGGGGTCTCCAATGGGGTCTCTAATAGAATATCCAATGGAAACTCCAGTGGGATCTCCAGTTGGGTCACCAGTGGGGTCTCAGTGGGGTCCCCAGTAGGGTCTCCAACGGGATCTCCAATGGGGTCTCCAGTGAGGTCTCCAGTGGGGTTTCAGTGGGGTATCATTGGGGTCTCCAATGGAGTCTCCAGTGGGGTCTCAGTAGGGTCTCTGTGGAGTCTCCAGTGGGTCTTCAATGCCTCTCCACCCCTTCTCCTCGAGAACCAAACCAGGGAGGTGGAGGTGGAAGGGGGTACAGGACCACAGAGAAGCTGGCCCTCCACCCACAGCTGGGTCTGCAATAGGTACATCATGAGGACAGAAGCCAGCATTGTGATGTCACAGCCAGCTATGGCTTTGTGCTCCTGGAGCTGTGGGTGAGTCAACTAAGCCCCTTCCTCCTCCTCCTCCCTGTGCCCATGTACCCATGTCTGATGCTCAGGGCTGAGCAGGCTGGCCATGTAGCCTCTCACCTTCTCTCCTGCTCCCCCCCACACGGGGCTGGTCCAACAGATGGCCAATGAGTGTCATGCTCAGGCAGCTGTCTCCTCCTTTTGGCCATAACTGGGAGCTAGCCTTGGGCTAGTGGCCAAGGAACTCTTTGCAAGTCTGTGTTGAAACTACCTGTTCAGAAACCCTATTCTCAGCTGGACCAGGAGCTTGCTCTGAGTGTCTGTCTCAGTCTCCATTCTAGCTCTATGAGCGCGTATAAGCTGTGAGTCTGTGCTGTTGGTTAAATGAAGAATGCATGGATGGGTGGGTGGGCACACAGAGATGGATGATGAAGGCGCTTCTTCCCTACTCAGGCTGCTTTCTGACCCCATGACTCTTCCCTCAATGTCATTGGAAGCCAGCATCTGTTGGCAGTCCGCCAGGCATCTGGGTGGCTAAGGTCTGAGACTTGGGGATGATGGAGCTGTACCAGTTATGGGGCAGCAAGGGCAGAGATAAGTGGTCAGTAATGCTGCTACAGAAAGCACCCTCAGCCCCTCCAGAGCGGGTGGTGTAACTCAAAGACCCTGAATTTATTTAATGAACCCCAAGTCCAAGTCCAGTCCTGCCACTTGCTGGCTGGCTGACCTTGAGCTAGTCATAGCTCCTCTCTGAGCCTTCGTCTCCTTTTCTATGAGGTGGGAACGTTGACCCTGGCTTCCGAGGACTATTGGGAGGATCCAAAGAGAAAGCTGCTGCCGGGAGGGTTGCTGCCGCCACGTGTCTTCCTCTGCCTGCCTCAAGTGGCTGCTCCTCCTCTGGCAAACCCGGGCTGTGAGGAGCAATGGCAGTGGCCATGGATGCGGGCCTGGGGGCTGGCCTGAGCAAAGCCGCCGACGAGGACAGAGACCTGCAGGCACTGTTCCAGGAACTCTGCCAACTCCAGGCCAAGTACGAGTTGTCCCAGGCTCTGCCGTCCCCCCTGCCCCAGCCTCAGGGCCACCCACAGGGGGTAAGGGGCTAGGACTGAGCACAGACACCAAAGGAGGCCAGACCAAGGATGGACCAGGAGGGAAGTGACGCCCAGAAGTGAATCAGGAAGTGACACCGCTGTGGGGAGGAGATGGCAGGCTTGGCTACCAGTCCTCAGGGCCGCAGTCCCCCTTTGACCTTGGGCCAGTCCTAGGCCCTCTGTGGCCGAATTTCCCCACCACAAAGGAGGAGGTGTGTGTGGCCGTCCCTATGGACCTGTCAGCTCAAACTCTTCCAAAAGGCACCCTATGAACTTGCCCCCCTAGCTCTGAGTGAATTTCAGGGTGCCCACAGAGGCCCGAATTAACTGCAAGAGGATATGTTTGTGAATAGTTTTAGAAAGAAAAGTGCCAACCCTTCCATCAGATTCTCAGCAGGCTTCTGGACCCCTGTGAGGTTTAGCACTGCTGTGGCTTCCAGGGGGCCCACATACTGTTTGTGGGGAAACACTGTTTCTTCCTGGATTTTTTAGGAATTAATGAGCAAGAAAACGGGGCCCAGCAGGGCAGAGGGACTAGCTCTGGGACTCTCAGCCATCATTCAGAGATCCTCCAGAGCCCTGTCCTGCCCTCTGCCCTTGACCTCTGGGAACCCCCACCCACCTGCCCTTCTGATGACCTTGACTGTGCCCAGGCCAGGCAATCTATTGGAGACTCAGCGTGCTTCAGGATCCCCTGAGAGTCGAGCGTGGCAAGGCAGTAGGCCCCGGCCACCTTCCCTCCAGAGGCTTGGTGGGGTCCCCGACCTCAGACTGAGCGCTCATGATGTGCTAGCTGCCCCCGCAGGGTCCCATTGAAGGAGGGGTCTCTCATTGCTCGTGTTACAGGTGGGCACCTCAGGTGCAGAGAGAGGAAGCTCCTTGCCCCTGGTTCACCTAAGAGGAGGCATCTGTCCCCAAGGTGGGGTTTGGGCCACCACTGGCTCAGCCCAGGAGAGGGGCCCATGGACACTGTACCAGGAAGACCTGGGCTTCACTCTCCCTGGGCCCCCGTCCTTGCTGCCTGACAGCGGGCACTGATTTGACCTGTTTGAGCTTCAGCGTGCTCATCTGTAAAATGGGCGTGGACAGACTGAGAGAGATAAAAGGTGGTGGCCAGCCCTCATAAGGGGTCATGATCTGGGAGCCTCCAAGTCATGTTCTCATGTCTGCCTCTTGCTGTCACGGAAATGTTTCTGCAGGCAAAAGAGGTTGAAGAGAAAGGTCGAGAAGCACAAGCGATTTGAAGATTTTCTGATCAAAGTCGTTGAGAAAATCCCCAAGGGTACGTGTGAAGCTTCCACGGGAAGCCTGTCCTGTGGGCGGCTCATGCAGGCTTTGGTCCAGCTACCTCCCAGCCACGAGATGGGCACAGTGCGTGACCTCATGAGGCCTTGAGCTCCTCATCTGCAGAATGGGGAGCCACGAAGGTCAAGGCCACAGTGCTTAAGAAGGGCCCAGGGGCCAGAGTCAGACTGCCCGGTCCAAACCCTGGCCCCATGGTGATCCTCTGGCAAGTTCTCAGGTTTTGGTTTCTGTATCTGTACAATGGGAATAGTGATAGTTACATGAATTAGAGGAAATCATCCTTTGGAAGCATGTAGCATAACGCCCGGCATTTAACAAGCACAAGTAAATGTTAACTATTATTATTATTTTGTTTGCGGTGGTTTTGGTTTTGCTATTATTAACCACATAGACAGCTGAGGTGGGTTGTTTGGTTTAGCTTTGTTTTTATTATAATTTCTACCAGCGTCCACTGTTACAAGTGCTGAAAACTTCTTAGAAAAGGGAAGGGAAGAGAAACACAGACATGTTTCTTACCATTAATATTATTATTTTAGGAATCCCTGGGTGGCACAAACGTTTAAGGGCTCGACTACTAGCCTAAAGGCTGGCAGTTCGAACCCACACACAGGTGCCTTGAAAGACAGTCCTGGCAATCTGCTTCCAAAAGGTCGCAGCCTTGAAAACTGTATGGAGCGGTTCTTGTCTGCGTACGAGGGGTCGCCATGAGTCAGAATCAACTCAATGGCAACTAACAACAATTATTATTTCAGCATCGCCAATAATAGCAATAATTATTACCATTTATTAACTATTACTTTGCGGTGAGCTCTTAAGTAAATCTTTTTACTCCTTCTTGGGAGCCCTGGTGGCACAATGGTTAAGAGCTCGGCTGCTAACCAAAAGCTTGGCGGTTCAAATCCACCAGCTGCTCCTTACCCTGTGGGGACAGTTCTACTCTGTCCTATAGGGTCACTATGAGTTGAAATTGACTCGGCGATGATGGGTTAGGTTTGGTTTGGTTTCATAAGCTTCTGAGTACTGTTTTATCTAGGCTCAGAGACGTTAAGAAACTTGCCCAAGATTGCCCAGTCAGGAAGTTGTAGGGCTGGAACTCGATCTCTGATCTGACTTCATAGCCTCGCACTAAATGCTGTAACAGAGATACTGAAGAGGAGCTGTGTGAGCCTGAGGACTCTGCCCCAGGGGTTAGGGAAGGCTTCCCTGAGGAGGTGACCTCTCGTGTGGCGCCAAACGACACACGAGGTCAGCGAAGGGGTCTGGTATCCAGGCGAAGAGAATAGCACGCTAGTGGTGGGTTTGCTACTGGAGCGCCAGCACAGGGCTGGGAGGCATGGCTGGAGGTTGGATGACAGCAACGAGCCTTGAGCACCAAGCCAGGCGTGGGCGCGGGGCTCCAGCCCAGGCATGGGGCTTGAGGCCCACCTGGGCACCCAGTGCTGCTTCTGGCAGCCTCCCGGGTTGGGGCCTCCCTAATTCAGCCATTTGGCTACATTCAACTCATCTGAATGAGCAACAGCCAGAGCTGGGATCTGGTCACTCGGGGAAGGAACAATTCCCCTCCCCCTTCTTGCAGGTTCCCCCAATCCAGCTGTTTCTCCTTGGGTGTCTCCTGTCCCACCCGGCAGTCCCCTGAGAACCCACGTTCTCAGCCACTAGGAGGCCTTTTGAATTTTGAGGCTTCTCTAGCAGTCCTGGATGGCGCACATGGTTAAGTGCTTGACTGCTAACTGAAGGGTTGGTGGTTTGAACCTACTCAGAGTTGCCTTGGAAGAAAGGCCTGGTGATCTGCTTCTGATAGGTCACAGCTATTGAAAACCCTATGGAGCACAGTTCTACTCTGCAATACTCAGGGTTGCCATGAGTCGGAATTGACTCAATGGTAACTGGTCTGGTTTTGCATTTTTTGGTTTCTTGGAGAGGTGGGAGGATGATGGGCAGACAGTGCCAGCCTGTCCTGCTGTCTGTGTAAGCCCAGCATTGTCTGGGGCTGGAGCCTCATCGAGTATATCGGGATCACCCACCGCGGGGTAAGGTAAGGGCCGGGCTCTCTGCACCCACCCATCCCTCATGGTGCTATCTCCATAGGCTCCAAGGACTGGGAGGAGCCGGAGGAGGCCCTGGTGGAGGCCATGGTAGAGCACTACGGGAGGCTCTTCACAGCCAGCCAAGACGCCCAGAAGCACCTAGAAGCCCTCTCCAGGATGAGCCAGGCTGTCCGCCAGAGCCTGGAGTCTCTAGAGGAGGGTCACAGGTCTCTTGTCCCGGTAACGGCCGCCTGAGACCTGATCTGACCTCTGGCCCAGACAGCTGGGAGCATGGAGGAGACTTTCCTCTGCACCCCGGGGAAGGCCTGGGGTAGTGGGAGGCTGCTGAAAGGGTCTGGGTAGGGCTGACACTCCCAAGTCTTGGTCTATATCTGCCTTTTCTCCCCTTCTGCTGATTGACGGGCTTTTTCCTGAGGCCCAGCTTGTGTTTAAAAGGTATTCTCTAGGTTGTACAAATGGTTTGCTCTTGACAACTAACTCAGAGGTTGGCAGTTTGAACCCACCCAGTGGCACCGAGGAAGAAAGGCCTGGCGATCTGCTTCTATAAAGATTACAGCCAAGAAAACTCTGTGGAGCGGTTTTACTCTGTAACACATGGGGTTGCCACAAGTCGAAATCAGACAGCCCAGGGTTCAAATCCCAGCTCAGCCACTGACCAGCTGCATGACCCTGGGCAAGTCTGTACCCTCTCCGAGCCTCAGTTTTTTCATCTGTCAAATGGGGGCACCACACCTAGCTGGTACGGTTGTTGTAAGATAAATGAGCACAAACTGCTTGTCTCAAAGCGAATGCCCCCCAAACTTCATTCCCCACTTTCCTTTTTGGTTATTTCACAATAAATAGAAGGTTTGCCTGGAAGGATGGGCATTCCAGAAAGAGGGAACCAGTCCAGCAAAAGCCTCGCATCATGAAGATGCACTGCAGCTGGTGTCTGGAGAAGTCAAGGCAAGGCTGGCTGGTTGGCTCATTGCAAAGAGCCGCTGTGTGATGTTTGGGGAGTCTCTGCCCCCTAGTGGCCATGCTGCAAACCTACACAGTTTGTACCCACCCTGGGGTTTCTTTTTCCCACTGGAGAGTGGGGACGGCTTACCAGAGTCGGCACCGTGAGCAGAACTTTCCAGGAGGCATTTCATTTAAATCTCACCCCAGCGCCTCAAGGCAGGTGCTTTTATTCCCAGGGCTGACACTAGGGTGCGGTGAAGGAGGGGAGTCACTTAAGTATAGGGACAGATGCCATTTTTAACATTCTGATATTTTGTTCATCCTGGATTTTTTTTGCATTATTTTTTATTTTTAAAGCATCGCGTTAAAATATTATTTCTCTTGATCATGGAATTTTGGGCGCCCCTTCACATTTTGCACTTTAGTCCCAGTCCCGCTCTTCCTCTCATTTACGAGATGAGGAAACTAAAGCTCGGAGAAGTGGGGAGACTTGGTCTGGCCTTGGGTCTTCCATATTTGGATCCCATGGGGCCAGCTCCGCCCAGGCCTGAGGAGATCCCGCCTTCGCTGACCGCACCCTGCCCGGAGGAGTGTGCGGCCCCGGCCACTGCAGGCGGTTCGGTCTTGCCCTGCCCCCTCCGCGCGCCCGCCCCCCCACCCGCCGAGGCTGAAGGGCACAGGCTTTGGGTTCTGGTGAGGAAAATGGGGCTCCAGAGGCTGAGTCAGGATTTGAACCCCAGTTGTCCTGGACACGCCCTTCTTGCCTCTTCTGGTGCTTTGAATGGCCCCTGCCACCCAGAACTTTCCCCTCCTCCGTAGGGTGACATCTGTGCGTGCTTCCCACTCCTGTCATTGCTCTGACCCCAGGGCAGAGAGTTGCTCGGGACCAGGCCCAGGCAGGTGCCCCAGGAGGGCTGGCCACACAGAGGTGACCCCGACCCTCTTGCCCAGAGACTCAAGATCCGTCTGTGTCAGCTGCAGAAGAAGTGTCACCGCAATGAGGAGCGGCAGCGGCGGCAGGTGGAACACAGCATCACCTACCAGAAAGGCACAGTCAGCCACAGTGTGAGTGCAGGCTGCTGGCTGGGGACGGGGGCTGGGGGCTGCAGCTCCTCCACAGTTATCACCCCCAACATACACATGCGCGCGCACACACGCACGCACACGCCCACATGCACACTCACACCACTTACCTCTCCTTGGGACCGTCAGCTTCCATAAGACTTCTCAAAAATGGGTGCAGATGTTGTTTTACAGATGGGAGAACTGAGGTCACAAAGAGTTAAGGATGGAGGTCTGCTAAAAACCAGAGCCCCGGTTCCAGAGCTGGCATTGCGATGGGTGCTTGGTCTTGGGCTTACAGTGTTTGTACTTAACAATAGAAATAACGATGTTTAAGTGAATGGTTATTCAGCTCTCTCTTCGGTAATCCTTAGGTCTCTCTGACCTAGACACTCCTAAATATTGGTTGAGTTTTTTTAAAAAAAATAAAGTTGCCGTCAAGTCAATTCTGACTCATGGAGACCCCGTGTGTGTCAGAGTAGAACTGTGCTCCATAGGGTTTCAGTGGATGATTTTTCAGAAGTAGATCGCCACACGTTTCTTCCGAGATGCCTGTGGGTGGACTTGAACCTCCAATCTTTGGGTTAGCAGCTGAGCACTTAATTGTTTGCACCACCCAAGGACTCTGGTTAAATCTTACCCATGCCTGTTTTACGGATGAGGAAAGTAACACTCGGAGAGAACAAGTCATGGCTGAAGTCCTTGACCAGGGACCAGAGTTTCTGGACTTAAGCTCTCACACTGCCTCTTACTGGCCTTGAGAATGAAGTCTAGTTACCTTCTGGAGCCCTAGTTTCTCATCCATAACAAGAGCCAAGAGTCTGTGCCCTTCCAGCCTTGGGCTGCTGGGAAGACTCTCGGGAGCAAGGCTGTGAACAGCCTCCTGTGGCCCAGGCCTGCCAGCGGCCCAGGGCTTGCTGGGCACGTTCCCCCAGGCAAGGTGTGGTCAGCGAAGGCAGGGCTTCCTCAGGCCTGGGCAGACTTGGCCCCATGGAATCCAAGTTCGGAATACATGAGAGTTGGGGTCTGAGGCTGCCGGCCCCCAGCAAGGGAGCCAGGGGCTGGATTGGCCACAGTGTAGAATCCCTTCCAGGCCTTGCTCTCCAAGCTGAGAGGCAAGGCTGCCCAGCTGTCCATGAACCTGAGGTCCAGAACTCCAGAGCTGCCAGGAACAAAGGCCACTGGTTCCTCAGTACTCTTTAGCAGCTCCCCAGGCACATACCTCAGATGTCTCCAGCCAGGACCTCAGGCCCCAAGGGGGAGGGGCTTAGCCAAGCCCCGCTGGGAGAGAAGCACAGATGAGGACGAGAAGGTGGCTCCTGGCTTCAGGACACTTCCCTGGCTGCCGAGTGAGCTGGGCGTGGGGGGCAATGGGAGAGGGCCTGAGCCGCCTCCTCCTCCTGCAGAGCCTGCTGCTCAACTACGTGCAGATGGCCATCGACAGCATGGCCCAGCAGTGCTGCCCCTTTGCCCACAGCCTGCCCGAGAACATGGGACTCTTCTCCAAGCTCGACCTGATTCAGGTGAGGACAGCAGGCTGCAGGGCATTGACTGCCCCAGGCTGGCCTGGGCCCCTGCGTTCATTTCAGCCCGTTAACCCTCCCTGCAGCTACGTGGCTGCTGGTGCAGAGGGGCACATTGTGCTGGGAGCCTCTTCCAGTCTCTCAGCAAACTTGTCATGAGCACCCATTAGGTGCAGGGTTTTCTGTGTAGTCCCCACTCCAGCACATCGCTCGCACACACGGTGTACATGCACACACACGGTGTACCTGTGCACACACGTGGTGTACACGCACACACACACGTACAGACATTCATATATGCTCTCTGCACACCTAACACAAAACATACACACACCCCTGCACCCACACACACAGACATGAGCTCACAGTCACAAAGGCGCACACACAGGCATGGCCATGCATTTATACACATGTGTGCACACACAGAGAGGCGTATCAGTGACTCTGAGGGAGCCATCTGCACAGACCCTCAGTCAAGTCCCCGGAGGGCCCCCTCCCCACAGCCCCCACGCCGAGCGAAAGCCCGACATCGGTCATGTTGCTGAGGCTGCCATAACATAAAATGTGTCATCAGCTTGGTTTCAACAAATGCGCGTGCTTTTTTTTTTTTAAATAATAGCTTCTCTGAGATATAAAAAGTTCGCCTTTTTTGTCATTTCAACATTTCTCACATGTACGATCCAGTGCCATTAATTACGTTCATCATATTCAGCCATCACCACTGTCTGTTTCCGTATTTTTCCATCGCCCTTAATAGAAGCTCAGTGTCCCCTAAGCGATGACTCCCCCTTCCTCCCTCCTGCCCACCTCTGGTTGTTGGTAGGTGCCATGGAGTCAGTTCCGACTCATAGTGACCCTACGTACAACAGAATGAAACACTGCCCAGTCCCACCTCCAGCAACCACGAATAAACCTTGGTCTCTATACACTTGCCTATTCTAGATATTTCACGTAAGTGAGATCATACAATCGTTTGTAAAGTGTACACTTCGTTGTTGTTAGTTGCACAACCATCACTACTATCTAACTTCAGAATATTTTCATTACTCCAAAAAGAAATCTTACACCCATTAGCGATCACTCCCCATTACCTCTTCTCTCCAGCCTCTAGGAATCCCTAATCTGCTTTCTATTGCCATGGACTTGCCTATTCTGGACATTTCACATAAATAGAATCATACAATATGCGCCCTTTTGTGTCTGGCTTTTTCTACTTGGCATAATGTTTTCAGGATACATCCGTATTGTAGCATGTATCTTCATTTCTTTTTATGGCTGAATAATATTCCCTTGTATGGATATACCACATGTTTTTTATCTATTCATCAGTTGATGGACATTTGTCTTGTTTCCATTTTTTGGCTATTATGAATAATGCCACCATGAACATTGTTTGCATCTATGTATGTTTTTAATTCTCTTGGGTATATACCTAGGAGGGAATTGCTGGGTCGTATGATAACTATGTTTAACATACTGAAGAACTGCTGCCAAATTGTTTTCCAAAGTGGCTGATAACACTTTTATGTTCCCACCAGCAGTGTATGAGCATTCCAATTTTTCCACATCCTGTCAACACTTGGTATTGTTTGTCTTTTTTTACTTAGCCATACTAGTGGGTGTGAAGTGGTATCTCATTGTGGCTTTGGTTTTCATCTCCCTAATGAGTAATGACACTGTGTATCTTTCCAAGTGGTTATTGATCATGTGTATATTTCCTTGGAGACATGCCTATTCAAATCCTTTGTCTATTTTTTAATTGGATTGTTTGTCTTTATTGTTGAATTGTGAAAGTTCTTTATATATTCTGGATACACGTCCCTTATCAGATATATGATTTGCAAAATTGTCTCCCATTTTGTGGGTTCTTTTTACTTTCGTGATGGTGTTCATTGAAGCACAAACATTTTTAATTTTTATAAAGTCCAATTTATCCTTTTCTTTCTTTTGTTGTTTGTGCTTTTGATATCACATCTAAGATGGTCAAACACAGGATTCTTAGCTCCTCTTGAACACTGACGGGCAAGTCCCTTCTCTGGTGTCCAATAGCAACAGTTCACAGTGAACAAGCTTGCATCTTAGTTCAGAAGGACTTCTCACAGCAATTTCACAGACAGTATCAGGGCCGCTGTGTGGCACAACTCCCGGGGACACCATTCATGCTGAAGTCTATATAATTGGCATCCCTTGGGGCAGAACTCATTCACATTGCACTATGAATGATGTAATTCTGGATAAGGGGCACATTTGTCTAAATAGTCACTGTGTATTAAAGTCACCGTCTTCCCAAGAAAAAGAAGAAATGTATGCAGTGATATCAGGAGGGTTGTCCCCAACAACAATCACGTGGGGCCTCTGGGTCTACACCAGTCAGTCATTCTACCAATACTAATTGAGTCCCGCCATCCCTATAGTCTCAGCACTGTGTTAGGTAAAGCGTTGGTGGTGTGGGGAGATAAAGGGTCACCTGGTCCTAAAAAAGGAATGCCCCTCAGAGAGGGAGCCTGGGAGCAGTCAGGGCTGGCTCCTTGGAAGAAGCAGTAAGAAGAGGCAGGTGACCATTTTCAGGAAGCCACACAAGGACCAGGACTCAGAGTCATCCAGCCCACCACCACTGGGCTGTGCAGCTTCAGGCAAGTGACTTAACCTCTCGAAGGGGCCTCAGCTTGCTTCTTTGCCGAATGGCAATGGTACCCCATGCTTTGCAGAGCCCCTGTGGGGGCTACAGGGGATGCACATCAACCTTTGATGATGTTTTAGTCCCTGGTGTTCCGGGGCTCCAAGACACTGACAGGCGAGAGAGATTTGTTTTCCTTCCTAGGAATTTATCCTGGACAAAATGGAGATCATGAGACTTATATCGCTGCTCACGGGACCCAGAGTGTGCTGGGCAGAGAAGAGCCTCAAGGACCAGGGCCTCAGAAGATGGCCCAGATCCTGCAGGAAATGTCCGAGCAGCTAGGGTTCAATCCCCAGGGCGCTCCAGCCCAGCATCCAGACATCTGAGTGCTCCAGCCTGTACTGACCGCTGCGGTCCGCAGGCCCTGCGGCATCACGACCAGCTCCTCACTGGCCTGGCCTGCTTTTCTGCCACCTCTGACACCTCAGTGGGCGGGAGTCAGCCTGCGGGCAGTGAGTGGCCAGGCAGAGTCCTGGGGCGAGCAGGGGCTGAGGGGGCGCTGTTACCATGCTGCAGCCTTGGCAAGGGTCGTGGGGAAGCCTCCTGAGAGGGGGAAGGGATGGAGGGAGGGAGCTTGTGGATTAGAGGCAGCAGCCAGGCGAGAAGCCGCTGACTGGAGGCTGCCCCATGGGGGCCGGGGCTTCGTTTCTCACAATCATGGGTGGGCTGGTCTGGGAACAAGGAGCTTATTTAGACAGCCGCCTGGCTGTTGGGAGCATCCGAGTCACAGGCACTCTTGTTAATAGCCACCCAGAGCCACAGAATGCATGGGAGTGCGCCTTGCCCTTAGCAGACTGGGGAGCCAATACCAAAACCCAAACCCGTTCCGACTGGTGGTGACCGTATGTGTTTCAGAGTAGAACTGCTCCATAGGGTTTTCAATGGCGGTGATTTTACAGTAGTAGATCACCAGGCCTTTCTTCCAGGCCTTTCTTCCACGGTGGATTTGAACCACGAGTGGATTCTAACTGAACCTTTCGGTTAGAGCAAGCTGTTGGCACCACCCAGGGACTTATTCAAACCCGCTGCCATCAAGTCGATTCCGGCTCACAGTGACCCTGGAGGACAGAGTAGAACTGCCCCATAGAGTTTCCAAGGCTGGAAATCTTTACAGGAGCAGACTGCCACATCTTTCTCCCGTGGAGCAGTTGGTAGATTCGAACTGCTGACCTTTTGGCTGGCAGCCGAGCACTTTAATCACTGCGCCACTAGGGCCTTACAAGGGTCGTGAATTCGTAGAGGGGTATCTTATCACTGGCTCCCAGAAACTGAGCACCACGTTGGTGCCTCCTGCCCGCCCTGAGGGTCCCAGAGCTGTCTGGAATGAACCACCACTTTGAGGCAGAACTTGGCAGAGCAAAGCTTCTCTCTGGGCGGGTTTTCCCACATGTAAAAATACGGCTTGAGAGGATACTCAGGGGAGACCCCTCCAGACTGACGTTCTCAGGCGGAGGCTGGGAAAGCCTGGTCCACTTGGAAGGCGCTGGCTAAGTTTTATTGTACCCCTGGTGTAAAAGCATCCTAGCCACCACCGTAGCCCTAAAAATAAGTCACCCCTGAAGGGCTGCTGATGTTAATTTATTTAGGTAGCGATTTCAAGTTAGAGCAGCTGGTGAGCTGTGAACAGCGGTGAGTCAGCAAATTAACTTTTAAAAGGAAGTTTTATAAAAGATACTAATATTCAGTCAATAAACGCTAAGGGTCTGCTATGTTCCTGGAGTGGATGGGAGAGAAAGACAGGAGGCTCAGAGGGTGGAAGGGTGGGGGGTTGAGTAGGACTTGGCCACTGAATTAATTAGGGAAGCTAATATAACAAGGCTGAGGAGCGTGGTCAGGTCTTAAATAAGACCAGTTGCTCTCAAGTTGACTCTGACTCATGGCGAGTCCATGTGTGTCAGAGTAGAACTGTGCTCCACAGGGTTTTCAATGGCTGATTTTTCCGAAATAGATCATCAGGCGTTTTTTCCAAGGTCCCTCTGAGTGGACTTGAACCTCCAACCTTTGCATTAGCAATCAAGAGCATTAACTGTTTGCACCACCCAGGGGCTCTGGCCAGATCTTAAGAGCAGTTTAAACAAAAGCGCACCAAGGAGAGAGAAATCATTTCCAATGTCCGACCTCATAAGACTTTGGAGAACAGAGGGCATCTCAGTTAGGGCTTGAGTTAGATCTCAGAAGGGAGAGTCTCGGGGACGACTGGAGAAAACGGACGAAAACACAGGGGAGGGGCTTAAAGTTTGATTGGAGCCTGAAGAGCCTGAGGGGCAGTCTGAGCAGGTGGGCTGGCCGCCATCATGGGGGCCCCAAGAAAGACCATTTTGGAAAAATTAGATTATTAGCAAATGGCTGGTGCTGAGAAAATTGACTACTTGAGGGGGAAATCAATTTTTTTCACACCATACGTATCATACACTCACATAATACAGTCCATTTCCTTTGAGTGGTGGTTTTCAAAGCTTAATGTTCATTAAAACACCTGAGATTGTTTAAAATGCAGATACCTGGGGCTTAACCTCCGATTCTGATTCTGGAGTGGAGCCTGGAAATCTGGATTTTTAACAAGCTCCTCGGGTGGCTCTGGTGCAGTGGCTCTCCAAGAAAACCGGAAACCCGTTACGGTCAAGCTGGCTCCAACTCATGGCGACGCTATGTGCGTCAGAATAGAACTGTGCTCCATAGGGTTTTCAATGATTGATGTTTTGGAAGTAGATCTCCAGGTCTTTCTTCTGAGATATCTCTGGGTGGGCTTGGACCTCCAACCTTTCAGTTACTAGCTGAGTGCATTAATTGTTTGCACCACCCAGGGACTCTGTTCTCCAATTACAGGGTGAGAAACACTATCTGAATGTCAAAAAAGAGAAGAAAGTCTGGTCCATATTTACCCAGTCTTCAGTGCGGAAGGACTTTTGAAGCATGAAAGCAACAGAAGTGACACCTGAAAATAATTTGACCACATAAAAATGAAAAACCTATCTAAAGACGATATGCTAGGGGAAGATAGTGAGAAATTTGACAAAGGATCAATGTTTTTGATATTTAAAGAGCTCTTACAAAAGTAAAAAAAAAAAAAAAAAAGACCAATTTTTCATAAAGCAAATGATTCACAAAAGAAATAAAAATGGCCTATAAATATGAAAAATATTTCACCTCACTAAAATTTTTTTTAAATTAAGTTATAATTTTTGCTCATCAAAAAAAATATTTTTTAAATCTAATGCACTAATGCTTGTAAGACAGGCTTTCCAATGCTGTGGCACTGTTTGCATAAATTCTCCAGAAAGCAATTTGATGCGAGCTATTGAGAGGATCAAAACGTTTATGTCCTTTGGCTCAGTAATTCCAGCTCATGAAATTTAAGTAAGTAAAACCAGAGTTATTTGGTTCAAAGTGACAGAATGCCCAACACAATCTGGCTTAAGCAAAACGCAGAATGCATTGGCTCCTAAACTTCAAAAGACCAGGAATTCTAGCTTCAGGCACAGCTTAAGTCAGGAACTCAAGGTCAGCAGAATCCAGTCTGTCTTCATCTCCAGGCTCTGCTCTCCTGCATCTTGGCTTCATTCTCAGGCTCAGCATTAAAAAACGATGGCTGCCAGCAACTCCTGCCCTGCTTCCTCTAAATTGAAGTCAAAGGAAAAGAGAGAATGCCTCTCCCCAGTTGCGCCTGAGCAAGTCCTAGGAGTCGCACTGATTGACTCATCTTTGTCATGTGACTCTCGGTAAACAAATCACTGATTGGCCAGGCCTGGGCTATGTGTCCATCCCTGAACTAATCTCTGTAGTTATGGGGGATTTCATACGCTGATTGGCCAGGCTTGGGTCAAATTTTTATTTGTGTTTTAGCTAGGTGGAATATTTTTCATTTTTTAGAAGCCATTTACCTTGAGCCAATAGTGGATGTCACATGAATTATATGCACTGAAATAAGAGGAGGGGTGGTTCCCCATAGTGAAATCAGGGAACTGTTATCAGAGGGAGGCAGGACCTGGTGCTGAACAAGCAGAAGCAAGAAATGTCCATTACAGATGCCAACAAAGGTTCTGCACAAAGATGTTCATCACCTTGTTATTTATTTATAGTAGCCAAAATTGAAAACAACCTAAATATGCCAGAGGAAGAGCTCAATAAATTATGCCAAAACCTTCTGCTTTTATGATTCTACAGCCATTCAATAATATGTTTTCAAAAGTATTTAATGATAAATAAAAGTATAGAGTGTAAAGTTAAGTAAAAAGAGCAGGAGTAAAAATTAAACTTTACCACCCATCTGTCAGTTTGTTGTACTGTGGTTGCTTGCATGTTGCTATGATGCTGGAAGCTATGCCAACGAAATTTCAAATACCAGCAGGGTCACCCATGGTAGACAGGTTTCGGCAAAGCTTCCAGACCAAGACTAGGAAGAAAGGCCTGGTGATCTACTTCTAAAAATTAGCCAGTGAAAACCTTATGGATTACAAGAGAACACTGTCTGACTCACTTTCTTTGGATACATCATCAGGAGGGATCAATCACTAGAGGAAGACATCATGTTTGGTGATGTCGACGACCAGTGAGGGTGAAGGACACCCTCAATGAGATAGATTGGCACAGTAGCTGCAAAGATGGACTTGAACTTGCTGGTGATTGTGAAGATGATGCAGGACTGGGCTGCATTTTGCTCTGTTGTACATGTGGTCACCATGAGTTGGAGTCAACTTGACAGCAGCTGTCTAAAAATTAAGCTAGAAGAGAAACCTGGTTTAGTAAAAATTATATATACACACACACAATGAGTAGAAGGAAATACACTAAAGCAGCCCTAGTGGCGCAGTGGTTAAGAGCTCGGCTACTAACCAAAACAGGTTGGCCGTTCAAATCCACCAGCCACTCCTTGGAAACCCAATGGAGCAGTTCTACTCTGTCCTATAGGGTCTCTATGAGTCGTCGACTCTACGGCAACTGGTTTGGTTTGGTTAGTTTAATGCTTCTAAATGGGAGGCTCATGACCCCTTGTAGAAGTAGACATATTAGAATGTGCCCTGGTGGCACAGTGGTTAAAGCACTTGGCTGCCAACCAAAGGATCATTGGTTTGAACCTACCAGCTGCTCCACGGGAGAAAGATGTGGCAATACGCTCCTGTAGATTGTGTCCTTGGAAAGCTTATGGAGTAGTTCTACTCTGTCCTATAGGGTTGTTAGGAGTCGGAATTGACTTGATGGCAATGGATTTGTTTTTTGTTTTGTTTTTTGTAGTGTGGTAGGTTGAATCCCAAGTCTCTATTCCCCTATGGTGGTAGTATACA